ATTCACCATATGATAAGTTACATGTGGAGAAAGCCTTTGTAAACTGTGCCTGTCATAAATAGAGCATTATTTCTCCCTGATAACCTTGCATCCTCCCCCCACCGCATCTTCCTACAAGTACCTATCAAACAGTAGGCGCTTAATAAATAATGTTGACTCAAACTGCTTTCTAAGATAAGCCAGTGAGACACTTGAGGTGTCATTTCAAAACATGCCAGATTCAACCCCGCTAAACCCTTCCCACACGCAGAGGAAAAGCAGAGATGTCGTATGGAGCACACAGCGCGTTCACCTTCAAAAGTCCTCTGTGGAAGAAAGTTAACCCTTTGTACAGCATAGCTGTGGGCTGGTTTCTGTTGAGCTCTAGGGACTGCTGAAAGTCTGCGTGGGCTGTTGCATAATCCTACAAAAAGGGGAATGGAAAAACAAATCCACATTCGTTAGATATTTGGACATGTCCTACTTTTGACTGGTAGAAGGAAAAAAAAAGTCCCAATTTATTCTATGCCCTTTCTGGCTTTTGGGGGGAGGGGAGTAATTAGGTTTATTTATTTCCTTATTTTTGGAGGAGGGACTGGGGATTGAACCCAGGACCTTGTGCCATACCCTCCCCCCTTGCCCTTTCTGGTTTTAAAGGAAATGTTTCATGATCATAAGCATTAGTTGATTTGTTGATTATACTATATGTTTGTTATACTTCATATAAGTAAACTATACTTACACTACACATACACTGTTTGTTGAAATAATTTAAATTGATAGGATAAGTAAACCTCATTACCTCCCCCTTAAAAAAAAGTAAACAGCTAAATTGATGGGAGAAACTCAGAGGTTTAATTTAAGCATACTGTCTCAACCACCAGAAGAATATTATTTTAAATACTATTAAAGTCATAATCTATCAGAGAAATTTTACAAATCATTTTCTGGCCCCAGCGTTTTATTATACTAAATAGTTCTAAAATGACTGACAGAGCTCAACCTTAAACCGTGTTATGCAGAGGCTTTTAAAAATCTATTTTCTTTTGCAATAGAAAATTGTTATTAAAACGACTGTAAACCCACAAAAATAACATGGCAATCATAAATAACCACTCAGATAATAGCAGAGAATCTTGCTGGGCTGGGAAGCCCCAGTCTGGGAAGCCACGTTAGTTCAGGGTACAGTTCTCGGGTTGCAACAACCAAAGAAATTCAAACTGTACCTCTGAGTTTAATAATCACATTATTAATTATCACACAGCATTACTGCACGGCCTTATTATTATCACAGCGTACCTGCTTCCCTATGCTGACATTTGCAAGAAAGG